AATTTTCAAATTTCTCTTAATTACAGTTTGCCAGATATCGATCGCGGCGGTTCCCGATGGGACACCCTGTATAGATATATGCTTATAGAACTGAAAACACATTATTAATTCACTTTCTTTTAACTATATTTTTCTGCTGGAAGAGTTGCACCAGTTTCCATTTCATTTGGTCTAGTTTCCAAATTAAGCAAATCTTAGCGCGACTGACAAAACAAATCAGAAAATGTTCAGGTCAGTCTGGCAACGCTGCATTTTTCGCCTTTCCTACCATCATTTTATTGAACAAAGTCGTCTTTTCATTGGTCAGAACTGCCGTGACACACTGCGCATGGAGTATTGCCTGTGACAATTGATATCGCCAGCCGAAAAGATCAGAAGAAAATCATTGAATCTAAAGTGCTCAGTTCAGTGTAATTCCCTAAACGTGGTGTGATTATGTCTGAGCGTATCACATTTTCATAAATTATTCCTTGCTACCCTTTTGCCACTGAGTTTACATCAAGGTTTTCGCTTACGTACTGCCAAAGTACAGCTAATTGTAATAGTTCATCATGTTTTCTGGATTAACCAATCAAGTTAGCTCCTGGATGGGCACAGTGAAGGGTGAAACTGAAGAAAAGGTACCCACTCCTACTGAGGAGAGCAATGCTCTTATCAACCCAGATGGTGGCGCCTGGTAAGACGTTTTGACCTAATTTTTCTAGTGGTTATGTGAAGAGCTCCTCAACTTCTTCTACTTGCTCTAGCTCAAATCTTCTTTATATCTTCTCCAGTTCTTCTTAGCTCTAGGTTTTGCAGCTTTTTATTAATGTGCCCCATATGTAAGCAACAATACAATTTTATAAACAATGAACGTTGTTGCTAAACAACAACAAAACTCCGGGGTGTCGCAGATTGGTTTACTTCCACTTTTCCTTGATTGAATTTGTATTATCAATGTGGGGAACTGCGACGCAATTGAATTTAGCTTCGTCTATATTGTGTATAAATTTGTTTCAAGTGCAAATTTATCAAATGGATTAATTAAGGCATCTCCTAGGCTCCAGCCAGGTTTTTTCTTAATCTATAAGCCGTCTGTTTAGTAAAAAAATTACAAAATTGATTTAAATGCAGTGCAAGATCTGTGAAAGAGTCTACTCGGATTGTTTATAATCAGTAGAAGTGATAGTGCAGGCCACCAACATTACACAAACAGGAGTTTTCAATTAATTAATCGGCATAAAAACACAAGTAAACGTTCATATAAATGTTTGTGTCTGAAATAATGCGGTAAGCGTGTTTTATAAATTACAGGTTGATTGACATTATTAATTAACTAATACTTTTGTGTAATTTTAATTGCTGAACTGTTTAATTATTATGTCGCCTCTAGGCGTTTATTTTTGTATCTCGAAAACGAATCGAGATACGAAACAAAATTAAGATCCCAAAAAGTTGCTTAACCCTAAAAAAATATCAGACCTGAAAATAATTCAGTGGTGCACTTTTTTGTCAAAATATTGGCCAGGTTGTCCTCCGGGACCCCACTGAATTAAATTTTAATCTATTTAATTCGGGGCTCTTTACTGCTTCTCTGAAATGTTCTTGGAAAAAACATTTCTGTTCAGAATTTAATTTCGAAAGAAATTTAATTCTTAAATTTTTTAATTCAGAAAATAATTTATCTTCCCTCATGATTTCTGTTAGCTTTCGATTTTTTCTAAAAGTTACAACAAAAATCTTCTCGAACGTTTGTCAACAAATCTGAGTTAGATCTCCCATCTTCTTTTGTTACTGGATAGAAATCCATATTTCTTCTGCTTCTATTGCAGGAATTTCAGGTCTTCTTCGCTTCTATATTAAGAACCTGGACTTCTTCATAGCACTTTATTTCGAAATTTCTTCACATCCTTACAATGTTTCGTTGACTTACATACGATTTGCCACTGTTTCTTCTTCGCTTCCGTACTTCAATTTCTTAGGCTTCTCTTTTCGTTCGCTTTATTTAGGCAAAAGTCCAATTATATCTAGAGCTTGTTAATAACAGAACAGACAGTATATTTACCTTTTCTTCATAAATAACACTCTGTATTTTCAGATCTTTTGAGAAAACTTTTTAGATTTGGATCTTTTCTGTAGAATTAATCAATTTTCTATTTTTTTTCGAAAACAACTGTAGCGCCATTGTTATTCCAGATGTAAAGTCATAGGTTCAAAAACACGTATATTTTTCATCATATTTACTGACAAACGTTTCTACACGAAAAATCTGCATCTTCATTTTGTTCATTAAATTCAAGAAAAAAAATCACTATTATTTAGAGCAACGATTATTTGTTTTTTTACTCTTTGAGAATCACTCAATTTAATTAACTAAATATTCGAACGGAACCCCATCTGTGCCTCGCAACAATAGATTTTTTCCCAACCTCTCGGTAAATGCTTCTGTCGGATGTCGATGGGCTTATTGATTTATCCGAATATTTGTTATCAAATAAAACGTGAAACATCAAAAATATTTCTCTAAAATTCTTCACTCAAACTAGAAAGATAAATTCGTTATTGTTTCTTCGTTATTAAACGACTGCAAAATTGTCTGGGAGCAAGCAAGGAACAAGACTGTGTTTTTTTTCGGTTTTTACCATTCTTTGATTAATAATAATAGTTTTCTAAGGAGAAAATGAACATTCCAGTTTGCAGATTATAAAATAAACAAAGCATGCAGGGTGATTCAAAACAAATGCAAGATATTTTGATATAAAAATTTAATAAATTCATAAATATTTATAAAAAAATTCTGCCAATCATGAAGCATGAAATCATCAATCAAACCATCAATGTGAATAAAAACATCTAATTTCTCTTAATTGAGCGTTTTCGAACCCTACGGAGCAGGATAAGCAATAAGAACCGCTGAATATTTAATTAAGCTGAACTCGTGAAATATTCGAATTTTTCGCTGGAAATACATTTTCTAAGAAAATGTATTATTCATTTCGAAACGGCCTGAGCGAATTAGAGAAAAACAAAGTTCTTTGTAGCAGAAAAAGTGGATGAGTTTGTAACAATCTACATAAATTTCATTTGGGACTCAAGGCAATTAAAAATTGCTGAAAAGAGCATTACCTCAAAGGTACCCATTATGTTAATAAATTTTCTTTGTTATTCTACCGGCTTTTTGTCGCTTTATCCTTTTTCCTGTCTTTTACATTGTCAGAAAATCGAATTATGTTGATAAATAAATTTGCACATTTCGCGTTTACTGCGTTCCATTTAAAAGCTTGAACGAAACTCTCTAATTCGCCTTTTCTCCCACAATTGTGAAAAACACTTAAAGCGACGTAAAAATACATTGTAGAATACGCCTTTTCTGGCATTAAAATGGAATATGATAAACCGATTCGCATTTACAACTGGTAACGGGTTTATCCAGCTCATCTGGATTTTGTCATAATTTAGGACTGAAATTTAATTACATTTCTTGTGCACCAGTGTCAGCAATACTTTGCGGATGAAATATTGGAATGTAGAGGTATTTTCATTTGGCAAATAAATTAACTCACACATTAAAGACTTAGGGTCTATGCTCTAATGGATTGCGATATATGTGCATAAGTCACATTTCAATTGTACAGTAGCCCTTCCAAGACCGTTGGCAGCAGTCGTCTAGAAATGTTCTCAAATGTGAAGAACCAGTTTGAGGGCATTGGAGGCTGGTTGGGTTCCAGCATACCAAAACTACGCAAAGGTGACCCTGATGGGATCAGTTCAGAAGCTGCTGGACACGAAAATCCAGCTGCTGATACTGGATCTCCCGATTTGGGTGATCCAGGCAAAGAAGCCAGAGACGATGATGATAATTCCAGGTAACTTTAAACTCTAAATTGGTTCATTCACTTATACCCAAACGGATATGCTTGCGTTTCCATATTTGCAATATACATTTTTATTTGCCTGAAAGGTTTATTAGAGGGTTATTTTTCGTTAAAAGCGATCTCAGAGCTTTTCTGGCCGATCAATAAAGAAACACGTGAGACAAGAATCTTTTAATAGCAGGCCGGTGAATATCAGGGTTCCATTCCATTTCCATTAGCTACTATTGAGAGAACAGAATGTTTTGGAAGTTTGAAACCCAAGCAATTATCGACTTCAACTAGCTAAGTTTCTCCTTTTATTCTCGGCCTACAAGCATGCGATCGCATTAACCGAATTATGTTAGAGTTGTTATTCCATTACCACTAATAAAAGGAGATTATATGCGATTTTGTGGAATCGCTTTGGAGATTTCCTACCCTATATACCTCTCCTTTACCTCATCGAATGATTGATTGCGATCTAAGTCAATAGAAGCGAAGTGCGTTTTAAACGGGAATGTCATTAGTAGAAATGTTAATTAATGACCACATAAATAGAGAATAGAAGTTGTTTGTTGTGTTCCAAAGTTCCAGCTCTGATGGGAAATTGTAAAGAATGATCCCGATTATTTACGTTGTGGAACATTTGAAAAGTATCAAAGGAAATTGATATGGTTTTTTGCATTTGCAGAAAATGTGCTCGAGTGATTTTCATGAAACTTCCAGCATATTTAGTGACTTGATGATCCAAAGATGGTGAAACATTTTAATTGTTTCTTGTTTAACTTTTGAAAATGCAAATTTTTGAAGGGGAGGACGCGGTTTGGAAAAACACTCATTTTGAGACCGATATTTACTAAGCTACCAAAATGTAGGATTCTGAAAGATGTTTATGAAAGAATCTTCTAACAACTTTAGAGTCAAGAGGCAAAAGCGCATTTGAGCAAAAATGTTCATTTTGAAACCCATGTTTTTAACTATAGCAAAAATCAGGATTCGATGTGATTTGGGTGAAACTTTTAGCACCTTTAGAATCAAATGCCTTCTAAATGTACACATTTCAACCAGTTACTTCATTTAGTTTAGAAGATGCAAATTTTTAAAGGATAGAGCATTTGGGTAAAAACATCTATTTTGAGTCCGAAATTAAGTTGGCAAAAATGAGGGTTCTGGGCGATCTTTGTGAAACTTTCAGCAGCCTTAGAGTTAAATGTTTTCTAAGAATGCTGACAATTTCAAGTTACTACTGACTTGAGTTTGGAAGATGCGAACTTTTAAAAGAGAAAGCTCATTTGAGGAAAAACGTCCATTTTGAGATAGATATTTACTAAGCTGACAAAAATCACAATTTCGGGAAATTTTATGACAGCATGTATAGAATCATAACTGTAGGCAATTGTTATGAAACTTTCAGGAACTATAGGTTCAAGTGATTTCTAACCACAGTGTTTACAAAGTTGAACAAATTTTTAAGTGGGAGCACAGTTTAACAGAAACATTCATTTTGAAAACATGCTTACTCAACTGGAAAAAGATCATCGTTTTGGGCAATTTTTATAAAATTTTGAGCAACTTTACAAAAGTCAAGTATTTTCTAGTCAGTGAATGTGCAAATACTGTGTTGAGTTGCGCTATTGAGCTGTTGTCGCTCGCTGAGTTAATGAGTGATTTATTAAAGCTTTACGAGACACGAGAGTGGAATTTTCACATCTAAAAAAAAGGTTAGTAACATTGTACTACTCAAACAACTAACAAAAGTCATCTAGATTTTCCCAGCAACAGAACTGAGTCCACAGAAAGTCGACCAGTTTTTATGTAAAATCGGTCTTTTGCATAAAAGATTTAATTTGACAGTCAAACGTTAGAAAACACGCGGTTTTTCTGTTTAGAGACAGTGTTGTCTAGAAATATTGATCTAAAGGTGAAGAAACCCCAGTTTCCAAGAGTTCCAAATAAATGATTACACTTTTGCTTTTTCAGGTCGGGGAAAAGGTTTTCCAAATATTTTTGCAAAACGGTTAAGGATTACAAATTTATTTAATAATTTTTCTCCGAAAATACCTTAATTGTCAGCATTTTTTAGTGAAACTGAAATTTTGAAGAAAAAAAAATGTTATCAACATTTTTCAGTAGCGGAACTGAGTTACTGCGCCGTTGCGTAAGTTGTGTTGGCGTACCAAGACATTTGCGCCGCACAGCGCCAACTCCTAAAAATTCACTGAATCACCCAGGCCTAGCGCAAATGGCTTGGTGCACTAACCCAACGCACCGACGCAGTAACTCAGTTCCGTTGCTCGGAAAATGTACTTATAAAAATGAGGTGACAATTTTTTTTATGTGTGGACAAATGGGTCAAACCTTACTCATAAAAAATGTTTATAAATTTTGTTAAACGTTCCAGTCTCGTATAAAGGTTTAATAAATGAGTTATAACTCAAAAGCGCAACTAAACACAGTGTTAAGCAGGCCCATTCACGTGTCCACAGGCAAATGTTAATTGAAAATATTGACAAGTGCGTGTTGGATTTTTTGCACTACACATTGCGCGCATTTTCCCGGAATTTAGGACGAGTGGCTTTTACAATCCACAATGTTTATTCAGCTTTTGGAGCACATATGCAAAAAGTTGAAAACACTTTGTCCAATTGCAGTTGATAGTTGGGGCAACCAAATAATATTTTGGCCAATCTGAGCGCGGAGCGATCGATGAAAGTTAATTCACAACTTGAAAACGGTCCAACTTTTAACAAATTTAAATAAAGTTGTCAACGAACACTGTGGTGGGGTACTGCCTTATGAACTGACTAAGACGACTGAAGCCCCCTCTATAGTAAATAAATAGAACTACTTTTCGAGAGCAGCGCCCTCTGTAGTGAATAGGTCGAACTAAGTTTCACAAAAGCGTCATCTGAAGTGAATAAGTCGAACTAAAATCGACAAAAGCGCCTTCTGAAGGGAATAGGTCGAACTAAAATCTACATTAGCGCACTCTGAAGTGAATACGTCGAACCAAAATTCGAAGTTCGACTTATTTACTTCCGAGGGCGCTTTTGGCGATTTTAGTTCGACTTATTCACTTCAGAGGATGCTTTTGTCGATTTTAGTTCGACTTATTCACTTTAGAGGGTGCAGCACCAATCGCTTTTCACTGTTTTCTTAAGCGACGTATTAGAGGCATTTAAAACGAAATATATACGCTTTAAAATTTATATACATACTTTCTATATTTATTTCACTGTACAAAGTGGTAAAAGGTTACTCATAAAAAATGTTGATGACTTTTTTTTAATGAAATGGAAATTTTTTCAATGTTAAAATTCCAGTCTTGAGTCTCGTGAAGATTTAATCCGTTTTAATACATGAGAGACTCATTAACCAATTAGTTAGAACTCAGAGAGCGACAACGACTCAAAGGCGCAACTCAACACAGTGTTACGCAGGACTACGGTGCAAATTTCAATTCGCTACTTTTTTTTGGAAGATGCGAATTATTAACGGATGAAGTGCAATTGAGTGAAAACATTGATTTTGAGAGCGATATTTCTATTTATTTATGATTTCACATCTTTCAAGAGTGTAATAGTACAGGATTTTCCAATGTCAGTTTATAATATTAATATTTGAAAAGTATTATCAAAAAACACTAAAGTCGATTTTTGCTTTCTACTAAAAAACATGCTTAACTAATTGTAGTTAGTAACTTGTGGTCAAAATGGTACCTAAGTAGCAATTATGTTATTCCTCTGTTACCAGCAATTTTTACCTTGTATAACCATCATTTACATTGTTTTAAACTGACTTTGGAAAAGCTATATAAATTATTTATTCCTATTAAGCCAACGTAGATCATCTAATTGGTACGATTCAAAATAAATTGTGACTATATTGCAAATATGGTTAAATTGGATTTCTAACTCAAGCATATATTTTGGGTCTGGGTGAATCGTTTCTTGGAAAGTTTATAAAAAAACCTAATGTAGGAATTTTAGTGCTACCGGGGGAGCAGACTCGGGACCGCAGTCGCTTGCCGAATCACTCACTGAGGAAAATAAAGAAGGTCAATTTGGAAATGGTATGTGAAAAAATGTCCCTATTGATGTTGTATAGATGTATGTATATTTCTTTAACTCGCTCTCTCAATACATGCAATCTATACTTCTACATACAATATGTACATCCTTGTTAAAACTAACAGCATTAGGGAGTGTTTTGCGTTCAACAAATTTAAATTCACTTCCCAAGAATTAATTGCCCTTTTGGTAAATACCCGCCCTTATTTACTTAGGAACATTTCCAATTTTATCTGATAAAAATCCGAGTATAGTTAGTCGTAAAATGCGAGGTATCTGCAAAGGGATTGCCAAATTATATGGGCATATTTCCCTTAAATAAACGTATGTTTAGTTCCGTGATACTAAAATATATACCCGTTAAACAACGCATTTTAATTCAAGATTATTGTAAATTTCATGTCTGTATTTGCCCATTTTAACATCCCATCCTCACATTGAAATTATTTGTTGGAGCTTGCAGATTTTACTGTTTGCAAGTTTTGCTTGTTCATTTATCCTCAATGTTTTGAATTGAATCAAACAAAATTGGTGGCCTTTTTTCAGGAATTAGGTATAAAAAAGTATGGGACTTCAGTTCATCGACGATAAAACTAAAAGATCTGGATCGTCGATATTAATTAGTCTGCCAATAATCTTTTATGTTGCCCTCCATGAAACTTGTTTACACCTCAAACTATTATTAAAACCGAACGTTGGATATTCAAGGAAATAATTTCTTCAATCCAGTTTATACATTTTTCAGATCCAGAGCTATTGCTCTGGATATCTGGAAATTAAATTTCCCGTGTATGATGGATTTTAGTGGTTTTCAGCGTACAACGTCAACAACGATTCCAGCCATAATTATTTGCTTTCCGTGAAAATACACCAGACATTATGATAATTTACGAGCTTCCTTTGACATACATACAACTGAAAAGAGTTGTTAATGCACTTTCGAACATATCTCTTTACATAAGATGGCTTAGCAGTAGTCTCTAAACTTGTGCTTGATGTATGCATGTATTTTAACAGGAAATTGGTATTTAAAACGACATCTGTTTCTCTTTTTGTATCGGAAACTTTAGATTTCTCAAGGAAGTGGTAAGTTCAGTTGGAAAGCGTTCTGGGAACCTGCTCATTTCTGTTCGATCAATCGTCTAATCCATTAAATTTACCTCAACTGTCTTTTCTTCCAGTACAAAGTAAGGCCTTGGCAGGAGCTAAGTCCTTAGGCAATTTCTTGTATTCTGCTGTGAATAAAGCAGGTAAAACCGTTACTGAGGCTGGATCAAAAATTCACGTCATTAACGTAAGTAACGTTTTGATCTGATGTACAAGTCCCAGAAAAAACAAATCATTATTTCAAACATTCTATTAGAATATCCTAGGCGACTTCAATAAAGAGCAAGAAGCTTTCATGAAAGGCAAATCTAACTCCACTGCAACATCTCTGCCTCCATGGGTTGGTTGTGCGAATGCAGAGAGTCTCAAGGAGGAGTGTTTAAGCTTATCAACTGATAGGAGGTAATGTTTCTACCTGCCAATTGCTTTATTTAAATGAACTGATTCAGTTATGTTGAAATTTGTAATTATTTAAACCACTTCATCTAAACATGTCAGTCATTGTAGAGGCGAAAGCCTGATGTATACAGTATGTCTCAGTATGCTCGAACCATATGTATTTTTTTGTTATTAATTGTAGGAATAAAGTTATTCCTCTTAAAAAGTTCTGCATGCTCTAAACCTAAAGCGCAACTAGCAAATACTTAATTTTCCCAGGTGTGTACAAAGTTTGGCAAAAAACACGAATTTTGACCAAGAGTAAAGTAAAACCACGGAAACCACGTTCAAATCTGCAATTACAACCACAATAACAATAAATCTTTTACTGCGACCGTCAAACGGGTTAGAATTTTTATAGTACTAAAATGTATAGTACTTTAAAGTAGTAAAGATGGTGTTATTAATAAGTGAACAAAAAAAATTAATTGCGGAAGAAAACTATTAAGTGCATCTCAACAAAAATTAAAATTTTTTTAATAGCAACTTTCGATTTGTCAAAAGACACGTTAGTCGTGGACAAAGTTAATTTTTTTGCTCACTTCGTATACGCCTGGAACAATTAACTATCGCATAGTTGCATTATATGTTTTAAACCATACGGAACTTTTTAAGAAGATTTTTTGCCTAAAATTAATAATAAAAAAATTTCCATAAAGTTCCAACTTACTGAAATATCCAGTGTTAACAGTTTTGCGTTCAGTTCCCAACAATTGGAATAGCAGGTGAAAGAGAAACGTCAGGAGGCAATTCCAATGGTCCACGACTTAGCGTGACGATAAGCGTGGAAAACCCTCCATATCCTGAGAACTAAAACTTGATTTAATTAATTTTTCATTGTAGTTTTTCTTGTCTTAGGAACTTCGTTCGAGCCCCACCAGCAGGTGTGGACTTTCAGTTTGACTATGAAGTGTCTTATCCTGTTGCTATGGCTATAATGGAGCAAGATCCTAACTTGGAAAAAATGCGCTATGAACTAGTGCCTAAAATGTAAGGCCAACTAAACCCGAGAATAAAGCCAAAGTAAAAAGGCAGAACTTAAATACTTGATTATGGATTATTTTGCAGAATCTCTGAGGAAGAATTCTGGAAAAACTACTTCTACCGTGTAAGCCTAATCTGCCAAGCCAATGAATTATCATTCATGTCTAGAGAAGGCGACAACATCCACGGTACTACTGACACTTCCTCAGTACAACCGATAGGTATGAGCCCTTAATATTTTCATTAACAAAATCTTAATATTGCTTGAGTTGTTAGCGAATGCTTAGCAGACTCAATTCAGAAATATCACAACTCGAAATGTTGTGCTATTCTGTAGATTTCTTTATGTTGCTTATCTCATCCCTTCATAGTTGTTGACTGATTTTTTTATTTCCACGATTCCTTTCTCGATAAGTAGATAGAAAAGACAAAGAGCATGAGTTTGTATCTGATACTCTTATCGCAAATAAAGAAGACTTAGATGAGGTACACGAAGGCATGAAAAAGCTGGCGCTAGGATCCAAACATTTGAATGGTAAGTGCTTTTTGAACAAATGCTTGAATGGGCTAAAGAACAATCAATAGAAAGCAAGTATATGCCGTTCCAGAATTGAGGACAAATTTTTATATAGGGTGCATCTGAATAGATGGTAAAATATTTAATGCGTGAATCCTGAGTCAAATTTAAGACCTTAAAGTCTTGTAATGTTTTTACGTCAGTTTTAACTACTTTATTATTTTTGTTGGCAACTGCGGAAAATTTACACGCATTATAAGTTATAATTGTAACAACTCACCTCTCGTTTAAATGTAACAGTCTGTTCTTTGTCATTTCTTAAACGGTTTGCTCTTAAAACTGGAACATTCTGTATAGAGGCGCGATTTTGTTGCATTTTGCGAGATTTTTACAGTTTTTAATGAATACTTATGTACATTGTAATGAATGACTTTCTTTTTAATGATTTATGAGTCAACTAAGTCATACCTACTTGCTTTATTGAATGTTGACAGAAAGAACTACCACCGTACATGTAAATAAAAAATCACTTCATGCTTTGTTTTCTCACAATAGGAGAGCATAGAGACTTGGAAAATTTTCAATGTGTTAGTTTCCTGTTTATTTTTTTTCTCAGCCTAAAAGAAGATCAACGTTACATTTGCTTCCCCAACAAGTCCCTTAAATAAGACTTTTTACTTTTGATCCCTTTAGTAGTTGAATTTCTATTAATTTTTTAAAGTTTTTTTTTTCGATTCGCTCCTAATCCGTTTACCCTTTCTTATTCTGTTTCGTTTGCGTTCTCTTAAACGTTATTTGAAAAGTTAATCTTGATGATTCTATATTTAATTGTAAAACTAAACATTAGGTGTATAGGTAATTAAGAATGTTTTCAACGTTTAAAATTACACTAAAATTATAATTAGGTCCGTGCGTGCTTTTTAACGTAGTTTTCTTGTCATAAGATACTTGTGCAAATGTAGATATAGTCTAGTTTACACTTTGTTTAAGTAAACTGGGTTCGAGTTTAATTACACATTTAATTGATTTTCAAGCAGCAACATTTGGGCAAATTTGTGTCATTAGACTAAGGCGTTTCTTATTTATTACTTTCCTTTTAAATAGAAAATCGATTCATATACAAAAGAGCTAAGTAAAGTAGGCTGAATCACCATATTAATTAATTGATGAAGATATGCGAGGTAAAAAATATAAATCACTCTATAAATATGGAGAAGAGATATAAAGGGAGAACATATTGGTCGTTTGCACAAGTATACTTTTTTCGCATTGACGCAGGTATTTTGTTGACAATACCGAAAGAAAAACAATCTTAAATGCATGTCTGTTCCACTTGCAGTGTTTTTTGTCCTCTTCAATACTGACCTTTGAATGCATTTTTCTTCATATGAATCACCATAAATTGTGATCAGTGTTTCCACGAAACAAAGCAATATGAAAAGGTTGTACTTTGGCCATAAGCGGGGCGATTCATTTGAATAATCAACGTACAATCATTAAGCATAATAACCAGGAGCTCAGATAGAATACTGAGAACAGGAAACTACCACTCTGAGCATCTGGTGAACACTGCAAGTTCAATTAAAAAATACTCTTTATTTACAATACGTGTGGCATATTATTTCTGTTTCGATGGGTTTGTTTTTTTATTTTATTTTTCTCGTTTGTTTTTTATCCTTTACCCTTTCTGCCGCTTAGAAGAAGACTGGGAAAAAGAACTAGAAGCAGAGCTGCAAGACTATGAAATGGTTACTGATAGTAAGGACAACAACTTAGACAAGGATATCGAAGATATGCTTAATGAGGAAACAGATTTAAAGTAAACTTGCGTTATTCCATGTTCGTGTTAATTCGTATTATTGATTTTCTAGTCATTCGTTGTAAAGATTATTTATGTTAGTGATATTGAGTTGATCATTGGTCACAACTGATATGCCAGTACAAAATCTCTTGTTCTACCGCAAGTTATTTCCTTCATGGTTAACTGAGGCTCTGTTTAAACATTCTGGTTTTTGTAATTGGCGTATTCCAAACTAGTTCGTTACTAAAAGACATGTTTTAGTGTTTTGATCGTTAGAGAAATTCCGATTGATGTCTGAATGTCTTCATGCATTTTCAGAATCAATGTTGAGCGTTGTTTTAGTGGTACATTCCAAACGTAAAATTCACGCCTTAATATATTGTGCATTTGATTTTTTTTACTAAAAAAAATATGTATAATGTTTTAAGTCTTGGGCAAAATAGTATCGTCAATATAGACAAGTTTTGTAAGTAAGTCTTCACTCTTAAAATGTGATACTGGATGGTTGATATTTTTCTGAGAAGAGTTATGCAGAGGAAGAATTAATTACTTTCTATGCTGATACTTATTTTGCAAAATTAAGATAAGCAAGAAGAGGAATAATAATGGAATAGTATAATATGTGTTGTGATTAATATAAATATGTTGAAAACGTATAGCATTACAGTCGGCGATGAAAGTAGGGGTCCGTCTAGCTATAATTTACTGATCGCTAAGCAAGTTTTTTACCACAAATTAACCGCATTACATGCAGTATTAGGCCTGGGCGTAAACACCAAATATTCTAGGAAGTACTCATCGGCCATGCACAACACTCATTACACTTTTCGATTGCTCTATACGGACTCCTATATAAGTAATCGGAAATTCTATGTGTGTAATTAAAAATGTATTTGTATAAGAATATTTTTAATAACTCTGCTTCCCTCTTGCAACAACACCAAGATGAATTTCGGTGAATCTAATATCGAAAACCAATACTTCCATTTCATACCTAGAACGAGTCAATGTTGATGCGAGAGGTCATTAATTGACTATGACGAGTACTTAAACTTACTTTTAATTGTGGTCGTTAATTTTGTTAAATTTTATTAAGGTATATGTATAAAATAATATATAAAGAATGAAAAATATCCATTTAATTTTCCTAGCCTTAAATGCTGTTCAAAAGCGCTATTTTAATTGATTATACGATCGTTTTAAAGTTCGCATTAATATAGGCTAGAAATGTAGCTTTTGAGTGTTAAAGCATGTCTCCTTCTCTTCATATACCCAATAATTGTTAAAGCAAATATCTTATTGTTAAATAAATGTAGTTGTGCTCATCAGTTTATTCATTCTATTCATGTAACCAGGACTTTTCTTCTTTACTTTATCGGATTACACGAGCCAAAGCAACAAACAAGTGTAGACGGACTCAGAATGGAAACTTTGTCGACAATCGCGGATTTTCCAATCGCCATAAAGCAGTGTAATAAGGTTACGAAAAAAAATATTCCTTACTAAAAATTTGTTAAAGGAAATTGGACGATAAATTAATTATACAGGGTATTTAAAATGAAAGCGAAAAACTTCAGGGAGTGATTTCTTTTTGTATCAAGCATATTCCGTTGTAAAGATAAGCAAACGACAAAAGGACTTAGGTTTTTTAAATTAACTAGAAAGTGTTGTATTAAACTAAAAAGAACCTCCAATCAGACAAAGTCTTGGTTGAAAAAAGTTTATTGTTAGTGTGAGTTATTTGCTGATTTGGTCTGTTAAACCTTTTTTTTATTCAGGGTTGAAAAAGGTTTGCTGACCAAATCTACAAATAAGGTAATAAAATTTTTAAAACTCTTCGATAGGGGTAGCTAGATTTATTCGAATGTTTTTCGAGTTTTTTTTTTCAATCGAAGGGTTGAAAAGGGTTTACTAATCAAATCAGTCAATACACTTTTTCCAACTCTTCGAATTAAAATAAATCGAATAAATCTAGCTACCCCTATCCAAGGGTTGAAAAGGGTTTACTGAACAAATCAGCAAATAAGGCTTTCTTTTAAAAAGTCGTAACTTCCGAATTGAATCATTTCCCACAATTTTCAGAGCGAGTAGCAAAAGCATCAGTCTGAAAAGTTTGAGAAATGTAACAAAACTTTTTACAGCACAAGCAATTCTAAATTTTTAAATATTCGACTTTTTCAACTCAAATGATCCGATTATTCGGATTTTTTTTCCCAAAAATTAGCTTATGAGAACTAGGCTTTAATATTAAAGAATTGTTCGAAAAAATATTACCTTGAACGTTCAAATTCATTTAAATCATGCGAAAATGTGGGGTTTTGACGGGGGCGAAAACATCAGGAAAATTGCGGTAAAAATTTAGTCATAAGAGCAAAGAAACTATAAAAAACCCAAAAGTGTAATCTTCTTTAGCTCAGAAGAGCCCAGAACTTCTCAAAATAGGACAAAATTGCTCCCTAACGCTAAAACTACAACTAACTTTGCAATTTCAACAAGTTGACCGCCTGAAGTGTCCCGTGTTTGTTCTGAAACACCCTGTATAACAATGAGGCATCAACACTAGCGCTTCGGCGGTCATTGACGGCTGCAATTGCAACTAGATTCAAGTGGCCCTCCTCACGTGCAACACGCAAGCCAGTCCGGTGATGCCAAGTGTTCATATTAGTATTTCTTATCTAAGAAGTACTCAAAAATCGCTGAGATGTTTTTAGCTTTATTAATTGTATTACTGAGTACCGATTGAATTAGTTACCATTGTATTTGGGGTATTGGTTATTTTTTTGCATCAGTTTTACTAAAAGCTCACCCAAGTAGAGCGGTGTGAGCATTTTAATTTCTGCAGAAAGTCGAATTAGTGGACAGATTCCAATGTCCCTAAGCTCAGGAAAAAATGTGCCATGCGCCAGCACCGCTAGCGTCAGCTGCATGTATTGAAGCGATTTTATGTGTGACAGTGTAGCCGCATTTCTCTTTAAATCCGGTGAGCGGCATTAAAATGTAATTTTGTGGCCAATTTATTGCCGTTTCATGAATAATTCAATAGAAAAATATGAAGTTAGTTTAAAAATGTTGACTAAAACTGGTTTTGAGGTAAATAAAATCAAAATTGAGCCACGGTTAATTGGGGTGGACGTTTTCTGCGGAAATCTGGCAGCAGGTAAATTTCCCTCAAATGGTTGATTATTTGAAATCAACAAAGGATAAAGTGACGGAGGAAACCGTTGAGTCTATTTCGTTGCTTGCTCGATCCGGCCTGTTCAGTTCGCCCTGTTTCGCCCTCGCAAACGTTTAATACCGCTTAGTTTTTGCCCTTGTGAATAAAATAGTGCCTGAAATATCTCAAAGTAAGTGTTTTATTTTTATAACGAGATTTGCTTTGCGACTATTTTAAATAACAAGGTTTTTAACGCTGTTTTCCTCCATTGCAGATGACTAGCAATCAGTTCAACATCGGTTTAAGTAGCGAAAGAAATTCCAGTCGTGTTTTAAGACCACCAGGCGGTGGCCATTCAGATATTTTCGGGATCAACGACAACGAAATTGCAATCACTCCACACAAAAGGAGGAATCATCCACAATCTACCATCGGCAGTTGTTTCGCTAATGGTGACTCAGAACCTCACACGAAACTAAATGGCTCTGAGGCACAAATTGAGGAAAATGGCAATCAGAAGAACTTAGAAGAAGAGGAAAAGACTGAATTAGATGGATCTGATGAGAACACGGCTCCGGAGGAGATTACTAAAGTGAAAGAACCAGAGAAGGTGGAGAAAATTCCAGCTAGAAATGGGCGTGTTCCTCCGGGAGGATATTCCACGGCTTTATGGTAAAAACTAATTGCTAGTAGGGACTTCAACAGAAATGTATTTTTACTTCTTTTGGAGAACTTCGTTTTGTGTGATTTTTTCGTTCATTGTAGTAGATGGTTTATTTTAAAACACCGGTGGATTTTAATAAATCTTCCATTAATTGAACTGCCCAGTTGAATCAATAACTAATTTTGGATACTCCATTCCTTCAATGAAAATTTATCAATAAAGGCCCTTTTTTAGCGTGGAACACGTCGATAGAGTACCTAGTTGTTTTTTATTTTGAGATTTTTTTGTGAAATCCGTCCAGTAGGTAGCTGATTTTTCATTAATTTTGCTCATTTTTCACTAGTTTCTTTAAATTGACTGTATATTTTATTAAAACTATTGAAGAAGTTTAAGCATCTCAAGGCTGCTTCAAACCGCATCCAAATCAGAATTGCGAAGCAAGTGCATAAAATAATGTATTTATTGAATACATTTTAACTCAAGGAGGAACATGAAATTCAATTATAAAAAATTAATTGAAATCAAAGCAAACTTTTTTACCGGATTTAACTTTCCATCACTAATTAATATTCAAAAGTCGATTTTTATGCCTTCGGTTTTACTTCATTAATTCTGTAGTTTTTTTTAATACAAATCGTTTGCTTTTCCTGAGTTTTAACTAGTGGAATTAATGGAGCCTCTAGTGAAATCAACTTCCAACCTGCAGCCAATGTGGCCTTTTGACTCATTAATTGGCTTAAGAGGGAATTCTATAATTAGATAATAATGAACCGTACTGGATAATTGTCGCTTCAAAAAAGCTCTTCATTATTGCTTAAGTAAATTATTAAACGATTTAAAAGCGACTTGCCACTTAAGAACTTCATCAACTCAAATGGAATTAGCTGAAATGACACAGCATTGGAGTCCAGAAACTTGCTAAATTGCATTCTATATGAGTTTCAGTTGACCCCGAGTTATTATTTGCTATGTAAAGCAAATTGGACTCAAGCCATATTTATTCAGCAGGGGAGAGTCGACTGCAGTCGAAGAATTGTTAGTGCATTATTCACTAATACACTAACGAAAGCTTCTTCATTTCATGAAAAAGTAATAAATACCGAAATAGACACCGAAACTGAAGCATCTTGTAAAATAATAAGTGCTTTTAAATGGTGATTAAACTATAACAATTTTACTGCTCCACTGTCTGCCACTCTCCCCTACTCATTCCAGATTTATATAAATACGGTTCTTGGCCTTTCTTGCAGCAAACCTTAATTTGTTATAATGTTGTTTCCTAGACAGTGTTCCAAATTTGGATTTCGATTCTCCAAACATAGTTATTGAACTCGCTGGGTGATCATTTTTATTCATTTAAACGTTGTAAACGAAACTGTTTTCTACTTTAATTTATTTATGGTATAATGGTGCTTTGCGTGTCTTTAGTTTATTTCTCGCTCAGCATTGTTGTTCACTGCCATGTCAGTCGGAGGCTTTTGTAATCGAATTAAACCAAAAATATTTATTTTAGCACTGAACTATATTAAATAAAATAAAAATAAGGAGATGGATTTTGATCTGATGTTTTAATTTATAGTGACTGATTTAAATATAATATAAATTGTTTGTTTTCTATATGTCCGCAACTATATATTTAATCAACTCTGTGCATAACAAGTTAGAAACCTGAAACCTTTACTTCTTATTAAGTGTTGAAAGATACATAGCAGATAACGTTGGTTTCTCCGCAATAAATAAACACTCGAATACTCCCCAACTTGTTCTGCACATGATAGTTTTTACTGCAATAACACCTATTTGCTTGATATTAACCCGATTGTAGAATTTTAGGCTTATGTGTTTTGTTTAGTATTTAGCACACAGGGTAAAGTTTTAAGATGCCTTAAGCCCTGAAAATTGCTATTTTTGGGGTGCTATTTAACACCGATCAAAATTTTCTAGGGTATAAAAATTGCATATTTTGTATACAAGGATAAATACACTTTTATATTGGAACCCGCAGTTTCTTTGTCCTGAAACCCCATGCTAAGTTTCCACATTAGTAGATAAGTTTTTCGAAAAAAAAGTTAATTTCGTCCTGCCGTCTTCGCATCTTCAGAGATGTTGAGCTTGGAAAACTTACACTTGATTGATGCGGTTTTCCAGGCGTAGTCTGTATATCATCATATTGTCGGTTTGTCATCATCCTGTTGTTCGCATTGTTCTTTTCTGCTGAAGTTATTGCGCTTATCGATTCAATAGCTTCCTTTATGAGTCGAGTGCGATAGCCCGTTGTTATGGCCAGGACTTAGGTTTTCGCAAATTTTTCCACTTGTTCGAATCTACAATTTCTTCGATGTTTCTCGATCCTGATTTTAACTAATACTCGCAGCAACTCGACCTTAGGTAGTGTGGATTTTAGTTGTACTTTCGATTCCGTGTGTTACTCTCGGAATAAATAGGAAACTCTTTTGTTCCGATTTAACCGCTTCCTTTATATCCGTTCTGAAGAAATGCCTCTGCTGGAAATTTTAATTCGGCTTCCAGATGTTGCGGTCCGCATATTTTTCTGGCCCGTCTGCCACGGTCTTAATTCCTTGCCGTAGTTTTTTAACAGCCGTTTAAAATTTTTGTTTTACTAAAATGGCCAGAAGCTAATTATCGATTTGTCTCAAACGTTTCTATGTATATTGTTGTCTACGTAGTGTATTATTTCCAATTAACAGCGACTTCTTGCACGTGTAGAATACCAAATCAACCGTTCTGCGACTTGAAGACTCCAGCTTGTTTCCTCATTTGAATCACGTTGATAAACTCACAGACACATTTTTTTTGATTGCTCGAACCCAAACATTTATGATTTGAATTTTGATCGATTGCTATTTTATTTATCCTGAAATTATAATGGCTTATTGGCTATTTTTTGTCCATTGTTGGAGCATGTTACAGTGTTCACGATGGAAGGACGAAATTTATTTAAAACGTCTGAATTAATAACATTTTTTTTAAATAACTGGTTTTTTCAAGCAAAATAAACTGATCGGCGCTTATAAGTTTATTTCGAATTTTTCTTTGAATATGTTCGTTGCGCATAATGCAAGTTTTTAAACTGGCTCCAATTAAGCGACCGACTGTTAGTCAGTTTAACAAAAAAATTTACAGTTCATAGTCATATCAAGAACAGACTGAGATACGAGCTAACAGGCTCGAAACTGGTCCTGGAGGTGCCTGAGATTAGCACTTCTCTTACATCAGAACTCTTTGACGGTTTTAATAATTCAGTAAAATATTTAGTTACAAACTGTGCTCATTTAGAAATTCTAATAACGTGTTCAAGCGTTTCGTTAAAAGCTGCCAACTAAATTTCAAATCAATTCATTCTTTCGTTCTGTACAAATCGTTTCGTTTAAAATTCCATCTCGTCTTGGCAGATTCTCGCTCTTGTAGTTGTAAATACCAAAAATTAATAGTGAGCTGATAACGATGTGGCTTATTTCCTTAACCGATCATTATTTTTCACTTCGTTGGAACTATTTGAACTGCATTCAAGTTACTAATCGCCATTTTTTTTTAAATATTTTTGTTTTGGTGCAAAAATTTGCACTTAACTGAAGATCGCGCGATTAATTGGATTTTTATAGATTTATTTCCCAATTTATATTTTATTTTTAAACTCACTATTACTCATACATGAATGTTGTAGGTATTAGGCCTTTTTTTTCATAAAATTTTAATAGGAAAATATTTTCAATACGTTTCCTTGAACAGTGAACCAACATAAAGCCACTAATCAATTCTTCCATTTTCAAGTTTGTATTGAATAACATGTTTTATATTTTCGTCGATTGTTCCGAAACTGTCTTGTTGATTTGTTGGGTCAATACGCTTTTCCCAAAACCGCTTTAAATAGTCCGGTGGAAGTGTTTTATTCGATTATTTATCATTTTATTGTTTGGGTCAAGGCACTTCCTTTAGATTGACTAAGTGCATTTCTATGAACGCACTTGTACGTTATCAGTAAATGCGTCGCTAGAATTATGCTATTATCATCCTGGTTCATGGATAATAACTTCTGATAATTATTAACATTCCATCTTGCTTATTGTTGGCTTTGTCACGCCTCAAAGGTTTATTGACTTTCATTTTTACTTCTATAATGTGTGATTGTACTGAGACTTGCTGCAGATAATTTCAAAGAATTTGCATACTATACTTTATCCTTGGCCGATAAGTCACATGATTTGCGATTGTCGTTCTAGATAGATTATTTATGTTTATAAAAAAACGTACGATGGCAATATATTGTTCACGTAAACAGCAATGGACTAACAAAGAGTGTTGTTAAGTGTACTGAACAATTTGAAAGTCCACTGAAAAAGAAAACCTGCTTGGAAACAACTGACTATTTTGCTATATAAAACCCGTTAAACTACCGTTTAGTAATAAATAATAAATGTCACATTAATCGCACATTTTAAAAGTTAATTACAACGATAAATTCAATTGCCAATCACATAGACCGGATATCACTTTATCATTGAATTGTTACGGATTTAATTGAAATTCAAGTCGTTTTTATATTTTTGATAAACAATGTTGTAATAAGTTTTGATGTCTACACGCAAATCGGTGGCTCTCATTATAGATTGGAAATAACTATTTCTTTTTGATATTCTTAGAGATATCAATTTAAGGACGCAATCCCGGAGGTTTTACCCATTTAAATAAGGAGTTTCATCATGGTGTTTAAATTTTAGTTTTTCTTAAAGTGAGCCTCAGCAAAATTTTCCATCTGGTCCCTGCCTGTTATCATTTTTTTATATTACAGTAAATTTGTTTCGGCACCAGCCTATTTGAATAAAGGGCGAAAACGTTGGGCATTTTTAGAAAATATTTAGAAAGTATAAATCCAGTCCTAAACCCGCTATCAGAACAGACAATATTCCTGATTTTGAGAAGACTAGCGACGAGAAATTAAAATAAGAACATGATGATGCCGATAATAAAATTGCGTTTCAAACCAGAAATAATACAGACTCCTTTGAATTAAACATTTTTAAACGGGACCTTTGCTAGTCAGAGAAAAGCTTCCATAGACTTCCAACGATAATAAATAAAAATGAATTCGAAGTGGCTTCTTTTCCCTGACTCACCCTGTATAAGGGCACGGCTTTAGGATTCAAATCAGTATTCGCTTGAAAATACTGAAATACTGTAAAAGCGTAAACTGAAACTTTGCGGTAAGCAAATTCTCTGTAAGACAATGGAAGTCCGAATAAACCATTCAATGCACTAACAAGTATACCTAAGCTGTAACTGTAATAATGCGCAAGATAATCAATCAGCAAATATATAAGAATAAAAATAAACAACCCCACCGGCTTCAAATAAAGTTTTCAATATTGGGTGTGATTTTTATTCATAACGCTTACTAATTAACGCTGAAGTCAAATTTTGCAACTACAGTAAAATCCGCTTATAATGAACCCGGTTATAGTGAACTTTCGGTTAAAACGAACTTTTTTCCTTTAATTGGAACGTCGCCCACAAACAAACAACAAACAAAGACCAACGTATTTTTTTACTGGTTATAACGAACTTCCGGATATAACGATCACTTTTTAGGTTAGTTGTATAGTATATTCACTTTCCGTTTATAACGAACTTCCACGCTAAGCAACACCAATCCTGGGGAGTTGTTTATATTAGTGAGAGCGAGAGACAGGCAGTGACTTGTTTTTTGCTGCGTTATGTATGTAAATCGTTTTAGAATGGAAAAACAAAAACGCAAAGCTTCTTCACTAAATACGTACGAGATAATGTACGTATAAGTACGAGATTATTAAGAAAATAAAAAGTGGAGTAAAGTAGAGTAACATTTGTAAGGAATTAGCACTTGGAAAGTCTACTGTTGCAACAATATGGAAAAACAGAAAACATTTTATCAGCGTATGACAAAACAAATGTTAGATGTAGGAAGTTAAAATTATCTGCACATGAAAAGGTTGACAAGGGATTTATTAAGTGGTTTACTCAAGAAAGCGTTCCCATAAGTGGCAGTGTTTGCAAGAAAATGCTAGTGAAATGGGGGAAAATTCTAGTAAAATCAAAAACAAAGAGTTTGATTGTTCTAAAAGTTGGGAAAAGCGTTTCAAGAAGAGATATAATATCAGTAACGGAAAAATTGTTGGAGAGTCTGCCGGTGAAAAATTCTTCTTATGAAAACGTTAGAGGCGATCGATAAAAATGAAACATTTTCTGTAAATCTCTT